CTACCTGTTCCTTAGATCCCAGGAGACCTCTGAGAATGCTCACCTCTTTGCCGTGGACTCCTTCTCAGTGTGTCTCCTGCTCCATCTCTGCTCTATCTCCAGCTGTCCCACTGCTAAGACAATGGTTCCTGCTGTTTTCAGTCTCCTCCCTCTTCCAGAGTCTGCTTCCCTTCCCTCCACCCACAGATATGGGCCACTTACCATCACTCATAATTCACCGAGGGCTAAAGACATTACATCCTTCATCTCATTTAAAACTCTCAATAACCTATGAGACTGGTATCACATCCCCATTTTATAGATGAAGAAACTGAAGCTCAGAGAGGTTATTTTTGCAAGATCAAATGCAGACTAAAAAGTTTTTTTGTTTTTTTTTCTGAGACAGTGTTGCTCTTGTTGCCTAGGCTAGAGTTCAATGGTGCAATCTTGGGCCACTGCAACCTCCACTTCCTGGGTTCAAGTGATTCTCCTGCCTCAGCCTCCTGAGTAGCTGAGATTACAAGCATGAGCTACCATGCCTGGCTAATTTTTTATATTTTTAGTAGAGACGGGGTTTCACCATGTTGGCCAGGATGGTCTCAAACTCCTGACCTCAGGTGATCCACCTGCCTTAGCCTCCCAAAGTGCTGGGATTACAGGTGTGAGCTACTGCACCCAGCCTAAAAAAGTTTAGTTTCTTTGTTGAACTTCCTGTGTAAGGTCTGCAGAAACAATGAAGGTTTATACAGTGATTCAGTTCAGACAGCATCTCTGTTCAGTGTCTACAGGCTTGGGGTTGATAAACCTGAGGAGACTCATCTGGGCAAGCATTCATCCCGCATGGTCATCTCTGAAGCTGTAATGAACACCGTTGCAATGTCCTCATGATTCAGAAGCTACCTCAGGCCTTTTAAGCTTCAATCCATGATAAAGAGCATCAGTTTTTGCTGAGCAATTAAAAATACTTTTATAATGAAAAATTCCATACATTTATGAAAATAGAATGAATAGCATAAACAACTCCATGTACCCATTACTCAGCTGCTGCAATTAACAGCACAAAGTCACTCATGTTGTTTCTATACTTCCACACACTCCTCACAACTGGATTAATATGAAGCAAATCTCATTATCATAGTATTTCACCCAGAAATACTTTGGTAGGAGTTTCTAAAAGATAAGGTTCTGTTTTTTAAAACATACCACAATATCACCACTATACATAAAAAATTAAGAGTAATTTCTTAGTATCAAATGTTCAGTACTGTTTCAATTCCTTCTACTGTATATAGATTGTGTCCAAATTATGATGGTTCAACTTACCATTTACTTTACGATGGTGTGAAAGCCAGACACAATTCAGGAGAAACCACACTTCAAGTTGAATTCTGTACTGAAAGTGATAAACAGAATGGTTGTATGGGTATACAATGGTTCTATACCCATACAGCCATTCTGTTTATCACTTTCAGTACAGAATTCAATAAGTTACACTGGCTATTCAACATTTTATTATAAAACGGCCTTTGTGTTAGATAATTTTGCCCAACCGTAGGCTAACGTAAGTGTTCTAGGCACATTTAAGGTACTATGCTAAGCTATGATGATATTTGGTTGGTTAGGTGTATTACATGCATTTTCAACTTATAATATTTTCCGCTTACAATGGGTTTATCAGGACATAAATGTCAGAGGTGTTCGAACCTGAGCAACTCCATCTTCCACAGAGGCTGGGTAAAATAAGGCTGAAACCTACTGGGCTGTTTTCCCAGATGATCAAGGTATTCTAAATCACGGGATGAGATAGGAGGTCAGCACAAGATACAGGTCAGAAAGACCTTGCTGATAAAACAGATTGCAGTAAAGAAGCCAGCTAAAACCCACCAAAACCAAGATGGCGACAAGAGTGACCTCTGGTGGTCCTCACTGCTACACTCCCACCAGCACCACGACAGTTTACAAATGCCATGGCAACGTCAGGAAGTTACCCTATATGGTCTAAAAAGGGAAGATATGAATAATCCACCCCTTGTTTAGCATATCATCATGAAATAACCATAAAAATGAGCAACCAGCAACCCCTCTTCCTGAGAGGCACCCAAAAAGCTCCCGTTCTTTTCCTGGTGTAGCTACCCACATCTCCATGAACTCCTCCCACAGAAGGGAAGAGCAGTTCCCAGCTCTGTATACCATTGGGTATTAGTCAGGTTTCTCCAGAGAAACAGAACAAACAGGATACGTATCCACACATAACAGGAGATCTATTACAGGAACTGGCTCACACAGTTATGGAGGCTAAGAAGTTCCAAGATCCACATCTGCAGGATAGAGAACCAGGATAGATATATATATATATATATATATGTATACATATCTCCTATTAGTCCTAGTTCCTATATATATAATAGGATATGTGTGTGTGTATGTATGTGCATAATAGGATATATAATAGGATATGTGTGTGTGTATGTATGTGCATAATAGGATATATAATAGGATATGTGTGTGTGTATGTATGTGCATAATAGGATATATATATATACACATATATCCTATTAGTTCTGTTCCTCTAAGAGAAACTTGACTAATACAAGGCACAACTTAGTAAAGTTAAAGTCTCTCCTAAAACAGAGTGGGTTAGAGGCCCCTCTTAATAAAAGGCAAGGATGCTTGACTGACCTTGGGTTACAGGTCCAACTTAGAGGGTTAGAGGGCCTACTAAGATTTAGGGGGTTAGAGGCCCATCTTGATAAAGTCCATTTAGGCTAAGAATGGGTTTGGCACCACAGGATGTTATTTGCTATTCTCTTTGGATTAGTCTGCCTTGCACTGTTTGCTGATGGCTGTGGGTGACAGAATAAGGCATGTACAGGATCCTGGGACATGGGGGGCATTTTCCTCCTTAAAAAGGGAAACTTGAATGCTGATGGGACTGCTGGAAAAAATTCCTTCACTACCGACAAGCAGCTGCCTGAAATTTTCGGCATCACTGCAATGGGTGGGTCTTTTCTCTGGCCTCCCTGAGCTCTTCATCTTCCCCACCCTACCTCAGGCAATGCTTCCTCTCTCTGTCTCTCCCTCTCTGTGCAAACTGAGTGATTAATGTAAAAATCACTGTTTATTTCCTCTGTAAAGTTTTAATTAACAATAATTTAAAAGGTTTTGTTAGGCTGGTTGTAAGCTGTAGCAACTTTGGTGTGCTTTGTGTGTCTTTCTGTGTTCTATAATGGAGAGGGGTACCGTAGGATAGAACATGGTCTTAGGACCCCTGTAAGCCCGCTTTTCAAGATGGCCCAGCAAACTGGTCAGTTACAAACTTTGCTACAGGTCTCTTAAAAAAAAAAAAAAAATACTGGATGAAGTTTCCTCTTGTCTTGTATGTCCTTGGGAGCCTGACCTTGTAACCATGTAGCCATGCTTTCTGTTTTCACAACGGCAATCATGGTTTAGGGTTCAATTCCTGGCTTAGGAAATGAGTCCTTTATCTTCTGTCTGTGTATTTATATGTGTTGTGTGTGATGTTTATATCTAAAAGAGCTTTAATTGATTGTTTAATCATAATAAGCACATAAATCAAATATTTGTCAGAAAAGTTAGAAGTGTAATGCTTTTCATTTAGTTCATGCAACTTAAGTAATCTTTGGAAAATAAAGACAGTTTTACAGATTATTGATAAAATAAAAATATCAGCCAGGTATGGTGGCTCATGCCTGTAATCCCAGCACTTTGGGAGGCCAAGGCAGGCAGATCACATGAGATCAGGAGTTCAAGACCAGCCTGACCAACATGGTGAATCCTCGTTTCTACTAATAATTAATACAAAACTTAGCCAGGCCTGGTGGCGCACACCCATAGTCCCAGTTACTCAGGAGGCTGAGGTAGGAATCACTTAAACCCAGGAGGTGAAAGCTGTAGTTAGCTGAGATCGTGCCACCGCACTCCAGACTGGGTGACAGAGTGAGACTCCGCCTCAAAAATTAAATATATAAATAAATAATTTTTAAAAATAAATAAAAATATCTTTAAAATGTAAACATTTGGTCTAAATTATGCAGGTCAGATATTAAGTTTGCTAAATGCTTTAAGATCATAAACTGCTTCTTTGACTTCTGAAAATTGTTCACAGTTTACCTACTTGGAGCATTCGATTCTAGATAAGGCCTGGGGACATGTAAAAAAGATTAAATGGTAAATGTATTTTGAAGCGAAAGTATCCAGAAGTTAATTGTGACAATCTAACAATAACACTGAAAACTAAAGATGTAAAAACTCTTGTGAGCAGTAATAAAAGAGAGTTTGATTATGTTTCCCTAAATAATGCAACAAAGGATATTTTAAGGATCTTTTAAGTTAATTTTGTTTTACTGTTAGATTGTTACCAAGTAACTTCTAAGATTTGCTGCAACTTAATTCCTATGCCTAAGCCTATTTGGCTTAAAGAGAAGATATGTAATGAGACAAACACTTGCCTGTTCTTTAGCACTGGGAACAACGGGCAACAAACATCACCTAAGGGAAAGTTATGAGAAAAGAAAAATAACAATGGTCAAATACTGAGCCAAGATGGGAGTTAGTCTTTAGTATACATTATATCATTTAACCATCATGACGGCACCACAGGATAGGAACTGTAGATATTTAGAGTCGATCATTTAGTTCAATTCCTCCTTAAGGATGAGAAACTGAGTCAGAGGGAAAGAAAATGACTTTCCAAAGAGCATCAAGTGGGTGGAAGAATTGGGCTGGAATTCAGGTTTCGTGATGTTCAGTTCGGGCCCTAAAAGTGCCTTGGCCATTAAGTTATAACTATGCCTAAAAATAAAGTGGTAATTTGAGACAAAAGCAGTTTTGTTTCAGAATTATTACTCTTTCAGAGAGAGAAAGAAAATATCTACTCCTGAAGAAGTAGAGTGTTGGCTTCAATAAACCCTCCTTCCCAACCCTTTTCATTAATAATTGAGCATTTAAATGTCAAAGACGAATTGAATATACAGAGAAAAAACTAACATGTAACAAACAGGTTGGAACCAAAATGTCTTTTATTTGAATACTGAATACATTCTGTTAGGACATAACAGTGTGCTAAAAATGAAATTTTTTAAAGAAAAAAATAGCACTGGCAGAAATACAATTAAAATGGAAAAAGTATAATTTCTAATTATTTCAAATATAACATAAATGACAGATACAGTAGCATTCTGTGAACTCCACTTAACAATTCGTTTATGTAATAAGTTATAGTTTAAGCTTCCTTGAGACATGAATATTTGGAATTTTCAAAAAATACCAACTATATAAAAAATAGGCACAGCAAATGGAAGAGCATATCATGATTATTAGCCACTTTTTATGAAAACAGGACTTGCCAATTAGAAAACAGTCAAAATTTTTGCTTTAGAAAAAAAACTACCTCAAACTCATGTTCATATTAGAAGTGACAGAGCTACTTGTGTTTCTAGCATTCCATATTGAATTTATCTTTTAAATACAAAGAATATGCTCTGTCCATTACAGCAGGATGACATGAACTTAATTTTCAGTTCCTCCAGATGCTCACAGCAGCAACAAGACAAGTCTTAGGATCATCATGAGGCTGGATTTAAAATAAAAGAAAGGCAAAGGAAGAGTCACTTTTATCTGGCATAAGACAGAAAGGGCCATGCGCTCGCCTACCCAGTAGTGTTACTAAGCTTTGGCTAGGGGGCTCACCCAGCTCAACCCCTTGGAGGATTATAATGTCCCAGACATAACTGAATTAGCCACTTAAAAATGTTCACTAAATAAATAAGGAGAAATCAGAACTTTCTGTCCTGAAAATCTTGAATGAGGGTTTATAAGAGAAAGGTTTGGGAAGAAACTAATTTTCAAAAGCTAGTAAAATAAAGCAACTTGAAAAAATAACTGAGGACTAATTTGAGGGAGTTGCTAATTCTATTTCAGCTACTTTCTATTAACTGAGGCCATCTTCTGGTTCCATAAACCCTACTTCTTCTTTCTTTTTTTTTTCTGATTGAGTCTCACTCTGTCATCCAGGCTGAAGTGTAGTGGCACAATCTTGGCTCACTGCAACCTCTACCTCCTGAGCTCAAGCAATTCTCCTGCCTCAGCCTCCCAAGTAGCTGGAATTACAGGCACCTGCCACCACACTTGGCTAATTTTTGTATTTTTAGTAGAGATGGGGTTTTGCCATGTCAGCCAGGCTGGTGGTCTTGAACTCCTGACTCAAGTGATCCACCCACCTCAGCCTCCCAAAGTGCTGGGATTATAGGCATGAGCCACCACATCCAGCCCATAAACCCTACTTCTGATTCTTCCCACCACCAAGAATCACTTTTAGAACAGGGCTATAACTGGAGAGCCATCTTTTGTAATTACACTCCCCCCTCCCCTCCCTGAAACATAATACATAGTCACACTAGAAAATTCTACACAAAAGTAGGAAGAAGAACATTAAAATTATTCATCACACTACCACCCACAGAAAAACACTACTAACAGTTTGAAATATTTCCTCCTGTTTTTTACACACAAACATTTTAAAACACACTATATTTGGTTATTTTTTGCCCTGTTTTTATCTTATTAAGTCACGAAGATTTTCCAACACCACTAAATCACCTTTGAAAACATGAAATGTAATGCTCACTCAATATTCCATTAAATGGACAAAACATTTATTTAAACATCTCCTTACTGGTGAACTGTTAGGGTATTCCTAAGTTTTTCAACTGTTGAGTTTTCATTAGAAAAAAAATTGCCATGAACCTCAGTCTTTGTGTATATCTCATCGCTTTGGAATAAACTCCAAAAAGTGAAAATGTGTATCAAAGGAAATAAACATGCTTATGGCTTTCAACATATAAAGTCAGCTTTCTGCAGAAATTTTTAAAATGTTATCTCTAAAATTTTATTCGGTAATACGGATAGAATTACTGGATAAAATTAAGAGAAACTTGAGGTTTTCTGTTTCTCTTTTAAAAAATATTAAACTTCTCTCTTAAAAACTCTTAAAAATATTAAATTTCTCTCCTTTAAAAACCTGAAATAACTGCATCACACTGTCACTTTGTCAAACTCTCTAAAAGAGATTGAGTATTAGATTTAAATGAACACATTTACTGCTGCAGATGGGTGAATCTTGAGGAAAAATGAGGCTGAGTTTAGCTCTTTCTTCTGAAAAAGGCAAGTATGCCTCTATGACCAGATACTACAGCAACACTATGCGTATCCAACAAGAATGTTCATGGGTACGTCAATATCAAAGACCCACTGAATCCATGACGATATCTCAAGGTTTTTACTGTCATGCTTACTGTAACAAAAAAAAGGACTTTGATCTTTCAAATTAAAATGGATTTTTCCAAAAAATGCAGCACTTCAAAGAACAGCAGAGGAAAGTATTGATCAAAATAGTTTTATTTACCTTAAACCTGCAACGAGACCAGCAGGCATTATTTTCTTGGACCTCTTAAATCTCACACCCATTATGGTGGCCAGGAAGAAAGCTGTAACTGAAAACCAAACTAATTCATGAACTAGAGTTTCAAACATGTTATCAATGCTTGCAGGAAAAAAAATGGGTATCGTTTAAAGCTTTCTAACATTACAACTATTATAGATAGGTACTGAGTTGCCATTGTCTTAAAAAGATAAGTGCTCTATCAAAACACTTCATAATCTACTTCATCAAAAATGTTTCTGGGTAAACAAACATGTTAAAATCTACTCCTGAAATGTCTTCAAAAGATAAAGACTTTTTCTCTCTCTCTCTCTCTTTTTTTTTTTTTTTTTTTTGTTGAGACAGAGTCTTGCTCTGTCACCCAAGCTGGAGTGGTGTAGTGGCATATCTCAGCTCACTGTAAACTCCGCCTCCGGGTTCAAGGAATTCTCCTGCCTTAGCCTCCCAAGTAGCTGGGATTACAGGTATGTATCACCATGCCCAGCTAATTTTTGTATTTTTAGTAGGGACAAGGTCTTGCTATGTTGGCCAAGCTGGTGTTGAACTCCTGGCCTCAAGTGATCTGCCAGCCTCGGCCTCCCAAAGTGTTGAGATTACAGGCATGAGCCACCACGCCTAAGAAATTCTTTTTCTAATCTAAATTTCTATTTAAAGAACACTCCTTAAAGACTAGCACTGAGCTTTATTCAACTTCTCTCAGAAACACAAAGCAGCACACTTGGACCCACAGGAGACACTCAATAAATGTTTAGTAAACCGAAGAAAATAGTTAATATATCTCTTACAAGTAAGATCTGATTAATTAAAAAAAATACTAAAAAGAAGGCTGACTGGTTTGGTTTCGTAGCATTCCATTTTGGAGAATTTGATGCCTGGAGACTAAAAAATAGTCTAAGCAATCGTGTTTTATTCAGAAGCATCATGTCAGCCTTTGTGGAGCTGTACCAATATGAAGGGAGAGGTGGTTTTATGTAAGAGATTAGACAGCAATGCTTTCAAAGAAAAACTATTGATATAAAAAATAACTGACAATAAACACTTGTGAACTATTTAAATGCATATAAATAAAAATCCTAATATCACTATATCTGGCTGATACATCTAACACGACCTCATTACTAAAAATATCCCTAGCCCCTTTTAAAAATAACTAAAGAAAAAAAAAATCCCAAATCTCTCTCTCTCCTTCAAATGTAGAACAATTTTGTCTTTATTTACATATTCTTCCATACACAACCAAGGCACTTTGAATAACAAATCAACTAGAGACAATTTCCTTGGTATAGTTTTCTAAACCTTCCCTGTATATCTCTTTCAAGTGAGACGAAAGTCAAGTGTCCTGGTGAGTTTAAACACACAGGTCTCCATTTTTTTCTGTAGATATTCTTCCACTAAGCTTAACAAGGGAAGAAGCTAAAAAAGTGTCAGCCTTGCTTTTTTAGGTTAAGTCTTTAGGCAGTGCAGAATCTAAAAGCTGTTAGTGAACTAAATGAAACGATGCAAGGCTGTCTCTTTTTAGTTACTTTCACTGCACCGTAAAAACTATGCTAAATATCCATTTAGGAGAGTTCACAGAAAATCTGAAAACAAGTCCTTGCTTTTCCTAATTCAATTTTTCTGTTAATAAGCTTTTATAGAAATATTGTTCTGAGTTGGAAGGCCTGGTAGCAGTGACATCATTTTTTATCAGGTCTTTCCAGGAAGGAGTAAGTGCTGCACTCTGCCTCATTACATGCGCACGGCCATTTGCCATTTGACTAAATATGTTCCTAGTATATCTAGCATGGGGTATCAAAAAGATCACCTGCAATGTTTGAGTCTCTAACTTGGGAAAAATGCCGTACTTACACAGTGACACTTTTACATCTCGTTTGTCATTGGAGACACGGTAAGCTCCATAGCCAGCCAAACAGCCAACAAAAAGACCAGCAATCAAAGACAGAACACCACCTGGGAGGGGAAAAAAATAGGGGCTCACAAAGAGACTCCCCAAATGAAAGGAATTCATTCCATTTACTTCTAGTATGATACAGGCACCTTCAAATGTACTGCTACTTGGGCACAGTAACTGGACAAAGCCAAATTAAGAATAGGACTCTTCGTGGATACTTTCCAGGAGACGACTGTTTCATGCTGAACCCAAACGCAAGGCAGAGGAGCGCTGAAGGTGCAGCAATGCAGGGAGTTAGATGTCACTCAGGGGAATAAAAGAACCTGCCTTGTGCTGGCGGATTGGACACGGATTGCATGATCTTGGGCAATTATTTAACTTCCTTAAGCCCTTCTTTTTTAATTTTTCCTATTCTCCTTGCCTCCTTTTTACTATGAGGCTGTAATGATAAAATCTAAGACGCAAAAGCATTTTTAGTTCATAGAGGTAAAGACATAAGTTCTGTAGAAACCAAGCAATGGTTCCATCCTGAATAACTAACAACCTTCAAGCCTCAAGGTGTCAGGACTTAAGGACTAATGGAGACCCTACTGAGAAGGAGGAAAACCAAAGTACTGACTCCAGCTCCCCAGCTCCTATCCCATGCACCCACCCACCAGTACACTCCCGGCCCCCAACCCATACACCCACCCAAGAGCACTGTGACAAACACCAAGCTCTTTCTGCGCATTGGGCAGTGGGTTACGTGCCAGTGACACTATGAACAAGACACACACAGTCCTTGCTTCATGGAACTCACCCTATTTAGAATCTATTGGATTAGAATTCCTGGAGGGTACGGTCAAGGTATCTCTATTTTTTAAATATCCATTGGAAATTCAAATGTGCAGCCAGGGTTAAGAGCCACTGCAACACATGCATGCATATACACAACACACACACACACACACACACACACACACACACACACACCCCGCCCCCAAAGCAGCATCCTGAATGAGAAGACAAAACACGCAAGGTTCTAGCCCTAATTCTTTCAGCTGCTGGCTAAAGAACTTTGGCTAAGTCACTTAGCCTCTCTTGTGTTGTAGCAGTTGTAAAACAGGGTTGACATCATCCGTGCCACGTATATATATAAAGGGTTAGAATGTTAAAGTTGGAGATAGTGTTAAATTACACATTGTTTCCCCAAACCCTATTATTCAAACATAGTAAGATGATCTTTTAAAAACACACATCTGGACAGGTCACTCTCCTAATTAAAAACCCTCAGTGCTTTCCAAAGCTCTCAGGAAAAAAAAAATCCAGTTTGCTATATTGTGGGAACCCTGGCCGCCTTTCAGTTCTCTGAATATACCAAACTCTATTCCTCATGGCTTTTAGACACACTGTTCCTGTGTGGACTGCTTGTCTACACTGTTCACTTCGCCAAGTGCAGCTCACCTTCGGATGTCTGCTTAAGTGTTACTTCCTCAGAGATGCCTTCTCTGACCCATCATTCTGAACAAAGGCCCCCCATCATAGACTTCCACTCTTCCTGATCATACGTTTATATGACGTTCATGGACTGAATGTCAGTCTCCCCCTACTCAATTGTGTGCGCCATTCTTTTTGCTCATTGCTGTTTCCCCAGGGCGAGACACAGGGCCAGGTACATAGGAACACTTGAAAATATTGATTTAATGCATCCCCGTTATGGATCATGTTCAAGCAGAAGATAACAAATAAGGATATTGTTAAGGAGATTAAAGCATTTTCTCAAATGCACAACTAAGTAACCATTAAGGTGTCTTCTCATGTAGCGGTTCTATGATGCTCTTTTCTGTATATGCTGAAGATATCACCCCACTCCACCCTCCGCACCACCACCATACATGCACACTTAAGTATGTGGAGAAAGTAGCAGTGTCTACACTTCAGTCTTGATGGGATCAGAGAGCAAACAGCAGGGGCAGGCTCACCAGCAGCAAGAACCAGGAAGACTCTTGAGAGATTTCAGCTTGCACGAGGAAGGTGGCGGAACTGTGGGCTATTTTACAAGAAAGGCATGCTGGTGGAAGGAAGCAAAGAGGATCTAAGAACAAGCTCAGTGCCCAATAGTGGGGGCTACAAGAAAAGCAGCTCTAAGCTCTTTCCTTCCCACTTCCTGGGATGCCTGATCTGGGTGGCGCAGTCTTGGAAGGGGAGTTTTCAAGGGAGTTGAAAGATGCATCTGGGAGCTTCCCTGCAGGTGCTCTTGTGGTCCTCAGAATAGCAGCCTGTCCAGCAAGTGCACCTGCACCTCTCTGGAGGGATTGCTGTGTTGTGCCCTTCCCTTCAACTGAGGTAGGAAGGTGGAAGGTCTGGTTCAGCCCTAGTGTGGGAGAAGGCAGGGAATGCCTTATGGTCCTCTTTGGCCTTGGGCACTCAGTGTTACCTGGCCTAGGAGGAGCCTCCATATCATAGCGTCTTCCTGGTCATCTACCACTCTGGAGACCTAGCTGGGAGGAGGGGAGGGCCCAGGCAAGCACAGTGCTCAGCACCCTGCGTTCCACCACTGTCCCCCACTTTCCTCCCACCAAAATAAAAATCTATCCGTTTCTCCCTTTAACCCAATTTGTGTCTCACAGATGGACTAGTTTAGGATTCGGATACATCTGTGTCTTCCCACCAAACATCATTTCGACATCACATCTTTCACCCACCCAAGATTATTCTCAATAACTGTCCCGTAGCAGGATCTCCTGGCCCAGCTACACAGGACTCATGCCTATGGAAGGTCTAAGTCAAAGAAGCGTTAACTCACTTTATACACACATTCGAAGACATTTGGGCTATAGGCAGCTTAGAACATAATACAAAATACAAAACTAGATACAAAACTAGAAAAAGATATTACGCCTCACTGGCTCACAGACCTCCCAATGGCAAGGCAGTAGCAGCCAAAAATAAATAAATAAATAACAAGAATATTAAAAGTTTATTCTATGCCAAGCACCATGTGAAACGTGTACCATTCATCATCTTATTTAATCCTAACATTAATTTACGGGTGAGGAACTGAGGCCCAGATATTGAAGCACCTGACCTGAGTTTCAGTGCAGTAAGTGGTAGTGTCAAGACGAGAATTCAGGAATGCTTGATTCTGTGGCCTATGCTTTTAACCCACATTATACTACAGAGTGAGCTTCCCTGTGAACCCATTATACCCTTAGGGGCTTCCAGGATCATTCAGTTGGGGGCTCTTGCAGGAGGCCAAGGAACCATATTATGCAGGTGGACAACAAGCCCCTGAAATCAGAGACCTCACAGCTAATGTAACTCCATGTGTTCCCACCAGTTGGTAAACATTGAAGAGATCTGGGTTAGAATAATAAAGTGATCCCTTCCACCACAACACACACACACACACACACACACACACACACACACACTCTCTCTCTCTCTCTCTTTCTCTCTCTCTCTCTCCCCCCCCACCACTCCCACTTTCTTCCCACCTCTCAAAAAGGCAGGCAAAAATGTCCAGACATTCTTTTCTATTCTGTAACAGAAGTTATTTAGACATTGTCTTTGACAATGAAATTTTTTTTTTCAAAAACAGTTTTATTAGCATTTTAAACCAAGTCCTCTTTAAAGTAGATTACGAAACATCAACCTTTGAGTAGTTGGTTTATAGGTCTTACTTTGGTGCCATCATCTTTTTTTTTTTTTTTCAAATACATATCTCTAATACATACATTATGACAGAAACAACAAACAAAAATCCAAGGTGAATTACAGCCTTTAAGGAATCGCAGATGATGATCAATTCACCGTGCCAGCCCCCAAGCTACAAGAGCTATACTGTGCTTCTGGTCGTTGACTCCTAGCAGCCTTTAATGAAGGAAGCTAACTGGTAACCATGGTGACCTGGCTTTTTAACTCAAATGCAAGTCAACTACTGCCACAAATACAATACCCTTATTTTAAAATTTTCATTGAGACAGTTTGTCAGAAAGATGATTAAAGATTAAACGTTGTGTACACACACACACACACACACACACACACACACCCACCCCTAAGAAACAGAAATAGGAGACAGCATGACTATAAATGATTCTACAATAAAACAAAGTAAAATAAAAAAATCTTAACCTTTCCTTTTTCTCCATGAAAACCCTTTAGTTGATTACCTGAGTTTTTTTCTCCCCCCTTCTTTTGGATAAAGGTGAAGAGACAATTTTGGATATGATATCTGAGAATTTAACAATTTCTTCATTGAAATACACAGGATCAATATAACTCAGTTTTTGGTACCATGATTATGTAAAGCAAAAAAAAAAAAAAAATCTTATTTAATAATAAGCAGTGGTCCATGAATTAACTATGCAGCTGATAATGACAGATGAAGTAAGAGTCTTGTGGTGAAAGAGAGGCCCAGAACCCCTAGGCTGGAACACTCTGTCATGCCCAGCCCTCTGCTTTTCATGTAAGCCTCTTCCTTTCATGAGTCCCTTCCATGACATGCTGGTCTTCAGCCATCTCTAAGGCATATTTAGCTTAGCTTCTCATCCTACTTACAGACCCTCATATGACCTAGCACAACCTCTAAACCCCAACTCATTCCCTTTGATGAAAGTTTGGGTTAGGCTTACCTCTCCGCTTATATCCAAAAATGCTTCCAAATGTCACGAGGGCTGCATAACCAAAACCGATCAGGTCCATTGGCAAGGTTGCAATTCTAAAGCAAGTGGGGAATGGACAAATTATACAAAATAAAAAGTCTGGGGGAGGGAATGTATCTAAAAATGATATGCTCATATGGTTTGGCTGTGTGTCCCCACCCAAATCTCATGTTGGACTGTGATCTTGAGTGTTGCAGGTGGGGCCTGGTGGGAAGTGATTGGATCATGGGGGTGGGTTTCTAATGGTTTAGCATCCTCCCCCTAGTGCTGTCTCGTGATAAAGTTCTCACAAGATCTGGATGTTTGAAAGTGCATAGCACTTCCCCCTTCACGCTCTCTCTCACTCTTGTCACCATGTGAAGATATCCTTGCTTTCCCTTTGCCTTCTACCATGACTGTAAGTTTCCTGAGGCTTCCCCAGCCATCCCTCCTGTACAGCTGGCATAAGTGAGTTGATTAAACATCTTTTCTTCATAAATTACCAAGTCTCAGGTAATTCTTTACAGCAGTGTGAGAATCACTAATACAAAGGCACTCCACAGAATTAAGAGAAATTAATTTCTCTAGTCTACTGAAGAAAGGGAGGTTCGGTCATGCTGGTGCTCACACCTGTAATCCTAGTATTTTGGGACGCCAAGGCAGGCAGATGGCTTGAGCCCAGGAGTTTGAGACCAACCTGGGCAACATGGCAAAACCGCATCTCTAGTAAAAATACAAAAAATTAGCTGGGTGTGGTGGCATGCGCCTGTGGTCCCAGCTACTTGGGATGTTGAGTTGGGAGGACTGCTTGAGCCTGGGAGGTTGAGGCTGCAATGAGCCATGATTGTGCCACTGCACTCCAGCCTGGGTGACAGAGTGAGACCCTGTCTCAACAAGGCTCACAGGAAAAAAAGAGATTCAAACTTCACCTCTCCCAACCCTCTACTGTCCCCTTCATCCTCACCACTGTTAAGCACACTCAGGGAGATACCTCAAGCTGATTCTCCTCTGCCTGTCTTCAAGATCTGCCATACTCTCAGCTGTTTAATTCTTTCTACTTCCCCAAATAAAACTTCCGCTCTCATCAGCCAGGTCTCTTCACTGAACTGTGACCCTATAATCTTCACTTTTCACTTCCATGACTGAAACGTCCTCCCTCCCTGTCCACCTACAAAAGCCTGACCATCCTCTGCACCATTTCCCTTTAAGCCTTCTCCCCTGACTTCTACCCTTATTAACTACCTCCTAATTTCCTTAACCCTAGCCTGTACTACCAAAGTGATCTGAAGCAAATGGCTTCTTCCTCTTGTAAATTCCTTGACTTCCACAACTCCATCTTATAATTCTTTCATGTTTGTACAGATATTAGTACTCTCATCCTTTACAGATGTATGTCTTCTTGGAGATTGAATAATTCACTTTAAATGAATAAATTCACCATTTAAAGGATGGCTGTCATTAGTTTCCTTGCAAGACAGCTCTTCTGTGGTAGCAGAGACATCTACACTTAATCAATAGAGAATACAATACATACAATATATACAATATAGCCCCTGACTGAAGTTAAATGGATGACAATAGCATCCTACTGTGCATCACAGCAGCAGCCGAAACACACCCAGTCGTGAGAAGTTCCATTGAAACCCTGCCCACAATTCTCTCAGATACAGTAGATTGTGTGCCAGCCACAGGCTAGAGACGTGGCTACTGGGCCTTGGACCATGCCCCTCCCTCACCCCCAACTCTCCCTGCAAGTGAGGAAAATAGATGAGATGAGCTCTGGAGTTCCGTGCAGCTTTTTAAGTTCTAAGATTTCTAGTGGTGCCTTTATTTTTGAATTTTATCATCTCTGTATTTCTTCCTTAGGGAAAGTAATTCGCTTTGTAAATAAGAGAAATGGTACATGAGATCCCTTGCATATTTTTACAATTTTCTCCCTGCTTACCATTTAGGTTAATGGGCCTTTTATCTCCTATAGCAATTGGTAACAAATTAATTTAGAAGAACAGAAAAAGGGGCCGGGCGAGGTGGCTCATACCTGTAATCCTGGCACTTTGGAAGGCAGAGGCAGGTGGATCACTTGAGGTAAGGAGTACGGGACCAGCCTGGCCAACACAGTGAAACCCTGTCTCTATGAAAAATATAAAAAATTAGCCAGGTGTGGTGTGGTGGGTGCATGTCTGTAATCCCAGCTACTTGGGAGGCTGAGACAGGACAATCCCTTGAACATGGGAGGCAGAGGTTACAATGAGGTGAGATCGTGCCATTGCACTCCAGCCTGAGTGCACTGAGCCTGGGTATCTCAGAAGAAGAAGAAGAAGGAGAAGGAGAAAGGAGAAAGGAGGAAGGAGGAGAAAGAAGAAGAAGAAAGGAGAAGAAAGAAAAAGAAGAAGAGGAGGAGGAGGAGGAGAAAAAGGGTTTTGAGCTGACCTCAGAGTCATCAACTAGCACTTACTATGAGGAAGGGTATGGGGGAGGGAATCTGAGGCACAGGATATGACAGCACCAAATAGGAGGCAACACTGAAAAATGCTCAGTGTCTACAGGAAGGAGAAGTCAGGAGAGCTCATCTGTGCCTGAGAAGTGGTACAGCAGGATATAACATGTAGGGAGAACCTGAGTCCAAAAACCATTCGATGACTGAATGATGGCTAAACAAATAATAATAATGAGGTTCATAATGTTTTTGAGCAATTACTATGTGCTAGGGGCCATTCTAAGGCATTCTAGGTGCCTTACATGTATCAACTCATGTAATCACAACCACACCCTATGGTATATACTATCATGATTATCCCCATTTTCCAGATGAGGAAACTGAAGCATAGAGAAGGCAAGCAATGCTTGAAGGTTATACAGCAAAACAAAGATTTCCGACCAGGGGAAGTCTCAGTCCTAACCTCTATGCAACATAACCTCTAATAATTGAGTTAGCTGCTGAAAAAAGTGAATACAGTATGTGAACCAAACATGTTCTTCAGAGTTTTCGAGTGAATCAAACATATTCTTCGGAGTTTTCAATTCTGGATCAATCACATGCTCTTCATAGCTTAAAGTTGTGACCACAGGGCACTGTGTCCCATCTGGTAACTTACAATGTTCAGCCCCATGAACTTCTCACGTTTGGTCCTGCTTACTAAAGGAGCTAACTGTATGCCATAAAGTATGCTTATCTTCAAACCTGATACCACCACTTACTAGCTGTGGGATCTCAATAACTCAGTTTCTCCATCTTTAAAATAGGGATGATAAAAAATATCTACATTATAGGAATGTTCTGAGCATTAAATGAGTTAATACTATAAAGCACTTAGAACAGTGCCTAGCACATACTGAGCACTCAACAATTAGCTGATCCAATAATAATGATTCTTTTCATTCACCCTTACACCTGTTTTGAGCTTGACGTGTATAAGGCTATTACTATTTCAGCACACTGGGAAAACTGAGGTAGGGTGAATTTATGATTTAGTTAATGAATCATACCGTAATATTATAACATCTATTTGTACTCAGTTCAACTTAACAGCTATTTATTGAGCATTTTCTTTGTGCAAGGCAGAAGGAAGCAATGGTAAGCACTAAGACATGGTCTTGGTCCTCCAGGACCTACAGTACAACATAGCAGTAGGAGGCAGATGTGTAAATGAGCCTAAGAGGAGAGGCATGGGTACCGTAACAAGTAGTGGCATCCAGCAAGGACTAGGAGCCTAAGGAAGGTTGCCCAGATAAGAGAGAGTCCCAGATGGGAACTTGGAGAGATGTTGTGCCGAACCCCTATTAACTTCAATAGGGAAGGCAACAGGTTCAAGAGGCCGAAAGAGACCCAGAGCCAGCAAATGAGACATGGGGTTTCATTAGGGGCTTACATACAAGAGGAGGGAGTCCAGTGGCAGTGGGCTGGGCAGGAAAACAACCGCTTGCAAACATCATGCAATTTATGTGGCATTTTCACTTAAGCCCTCCCCTCAATGACCTCCACCTGGCAACCTTGATTTAACTCAAAATTCAGGGCCTCAATTCCCTGTGAGGCTCTTGTTCTACAGGACAGGCTGGGCAAGGGCTCAGATGTTCTTTTTTTTTTTGAGACAGAGTTTCCCTCTTGTTGCCCAGGCTGGAGTGCAATGGCGCGATCTCGGCTCACCGCAACCTCCGCCTCCTGGGTTCAGGCAATTCTCCTGCCTCAGCCTCCTGAGTAGATGGGATTACAGGCACGTGCCACTTGCCTAGCTAATTTTTTGTATTTTTAGTAGAGACGGGGTTTCACCGTTTTAACCAGGATGGTCTCGATCTCTTGACCTCATGATCCACCCGCCTCGGCCTCCCAAAGTGCTGGGATTACAGGCGTGAGCCACCGCGCCCGGCCCTCAGGTGTTTTTTATAGACAAGAAACAAATCTCTGGGTTGGACAGGCCTGGATTCCCTAGTTCAGAAAACACACTCAGGTCCATCTGTCACACAGGGTCATTGTAAGGGTATGCTTTAATTATTGCGGTCAGGTGCATTTACCCTACAGGGGAGCATGAGTAAGTCAAGTGAAGAAGGCGGCAGGGAAGGGTGTTCCTGGGGGGAACATGTGCAAGGCCGTAATGGCACAAGACAGCATGGCATGTTCTCAAAATGAAAATTGCAAGGGGTTTGTGAAAAGAGGAGGTTCTGGTGAGAAAGACAGGGCTGTACACCCACATAAGCCCCGTAAAGGGAGGCTGGTTCTAAGGATCACTGAAGGAAGCCTCACAATCAGATTTAAATTCCAGCAAGCACTTCCCAGTTGAAGTAGTGAAGACAGGTTGTGAAGTGAAGCAGGAAGATAAATTGGGGAGCTGCGGCAGTAAAGTAAGCAAGGACTTAGGTGATAATGGTAGGTTTATCTAGAGAAACGGCAATGAGAATGGAGAGAAAGTGAACAGATTTCAGAGGTGCAGGGGGTAGAATCAGCAGAATTGAATTCGAGGAGGGACGGGAAAGTCAGGGGTGAATCAGAGATGACTCACCCGTAGGTGTCTGGCTTAGACCTTAAGAAGCAGGGAGTCAGGAAGCCTCATGCTACTCCCTGAGACAGAAAACATAGGAACAGCAGCAGGTATGTGGTGGGGGGAAGAGGGAGGTGGCCAGGAATGATGGGACCTGTGTGGAATGTATTCAGTCTGAAACGCTGACCTCAGCCTGGAAAACACCCTTACATACAAATGTGAAGCTTTCAAGAAGTCTTTCATTATCAGGTGTAACTTTCAGACCTAATTTTCTCCCAAAGCCAAGTATCTGTTGTGAAAGACCGATTCCTCTCATCCTGAGCCCCCCAGCTCTTCCTGCGACCTTCTCTTGGGGACCCATACGTTTTTACTTGGTTTAGAGTTACTTATGTTGGGATTCTCTCACCTCTCAGCCAGCCAAGCTCCTTATAGGAAAACCCAGGTTCGATTTATCTTTGTCCTCCTCACAGCACCAAGAACCCTGCCCTGCACAAGGCAGGTACTTAAAATACTTGTTAAATGAATAAATGAGTGCGTGAACCAAAGAAACAGCTGCCTGAAGACATTGTGTAGCTGACCTATCCAATACAGCTTTTATCAGCAGGAAACGGGCAGCTCCTTAATCTCCTTAGTGAAATGACTGTAGTTCCAAGGAAGTAAAATAAATTTATTCCCAGTGCTTGCAAGAAGATTCTGTTCTTACAGAGAAAATTCAGACAAGAGCAATCACCTTTTCCATGACGGGGCGAGGTGGCCAGGCCAGAGGCACACATTAAAGCCAGAGGCTGTGTTAACGTGGAAAGGATAAGGTGGGCGAGGATGTCCTCAGCACATAACACGCTCCCATCACAAATGCGATGCTCAAGCCTTGGAAGGGCTAGAAAGCATCTTGGATGCAATACAGCAAAGCCATGTACCATACCACCTACAAAACAAGGTGACAGGGGCCAGCCTCGCTGCCAGCTCCAAGACCTCCAAAATTTGGAGAACTAAGAGATTTTCGGTAAACTATTATATAAAAAGCATTTTCACATGCTAAAGGTATAACAATTATCTACCCCTGAGCTCTCTGAGGACACAAAAGGCACATTTCGAGTAGGGTCCTGGTGGTGCTGAGGTTAAAATCCTGCCAAGCATTTTGTAATGGTCCATGAGCCCACCCCACCACCCCAACTCCAGAAATAGGTGGGATATTTAGGGATACGAGAAGGCAGAAACTCGGGAAATTCCCAGGAGGAGAAAAATGATACCGGGGAGGGAAGACCGAGGTCCTGCAAAATCCCCTCAAGGTCCTCCGCGTCGTTTGCTGTGCAGATTTGGGGCGGGGGAGGGGATACCTGCTAAGCAATTCGCCTTATATTTCTGCGGTTGTGTAAGAAAATTCAGAGCGGGAATGTCTCCACTGAGGGATGCACAGCTCACCTGCAGCCCCGAGCCCTCACTGCAGCTGAAAAGACAGACGTCCGGAACCAGATGCCGGCAAGCACGATGCCTGGAGACCGGAAGCAGTCTCCGCGCCAGCGCGGCCCCACCCTCCGCCCCGCAGTCTCGCGCGGAGCGGAGGCCGCTCCGTCCCGGAGACGCCCTTCCCGCCGCGCATGCGCCGTGTCCCTTCTCGCCTTGCAGTGCTCTGCGCTGCCCAGCCCTCCGGCGGAATCGGGGCGGCTGGTAGGCCAGGCAGCCTGGAGCTCCTGTGCTGTAACGCTCCGGCGGCAGCCTGACCCGTTGCTTCGTCTGTCCTGCCTTCGGCCCTGTCCTGGAGTCAGGACTGGGGTTTGCTGCCTCCCGCCTGACGAATTGGGACTGGCAGGAAGTGTGTCTGCATACAGCCAAGATGACACAAGGCGAAGATATTTAAGTGACTCCATTCATCATTCAAGGGACATTTCCAGGACCTCTAAAAGGCAACCCGAGGTCTTTTACATACCCTCCAGCAGATTGCTCCATTGTCAGTGGAGGGAGTTAAGACAGTGAGGTTAGGTGATTTAGTTGTCCACGGTCAGAATCCGAGTTTGCCTGGTTTCAGAGCCCGAGCACCCTTTATTACACTATGGGATCATCTAGATGTGGTTGGAAGATCAGGATCCTGTTTTAAACTTCAGGCCCAGGATTTGCCGGGCTTAGCTATCTACAGGGAAAGTATAGAATTCCAGAGTTGGAAAGCACTTAAAATCTTGTCTAGTCCAATGCAATCCGCTCAATCCCAGAAATGAACCTTAAATTGACTTTTTGATACAGGATCTCAGTTGGTCGTCCAGGCTGGAGTGCAGTGGTGCCATCTCAGCTCACTGCAACCTCTGCCTCCCAGGTTCAAGCGATTCCGCTGCCTCAACCTCTCAGGTAGCTGGGATTACAGATGTGTGCCACCTCACCTGGCTAATTTATTTTTATTTTTGTCGAGATGGGGTTTCACAATGTTGCCCAGGCTGGTCTTGAACTCCTGAGCTTGAAGCAATCTGCCCGTCTCAGCCTCCCAATGTGCTGGGATTACAGTTTAAACTGACTTTAAATGATGCCTCCCTGTAACAACTTATCTCATTCTTTTTGCCTTCTTGATTGAATGCATAACTCCAACCCTCTTCCTTATGTAACAGCTCTTCAGAGATATGAAGAACACTGTCATCTAGGAGTGTAACAACTCTAAAGATTCTGTCTCTAAGAATTAGAGCAGAATTCGTCAGGAAAAAAAAAAAGGAAACTCAAAGATTACATCTTATGAAGTTTGTTTGCTACATCTATTCCTGTGCATAAAAGTGCTTCAAAGAAGTAATGTAACTACATCTAACTTATGAGAAGTGTGCGTGGGTCCTGGGGAATTAATAACATTCCTGAAGATTCACAGAAGAGTTGATGGCAAGGCACTGGAATGTGGCATGAACAAAGTGATAGCCTGAAGTTTGGTTCTGAGTTCTCCCAGCACTCCTTCCCATCCCCTTCTATGCCCATCCTTACCCCAGCCTCCTCCCCTTCTCTCCTCAAACTCTCAGAACACTGCCTATTTGGAATAAAACTAAAACCTTCTTGGAATGCTTCAGTATCTTCATCTGCTGTGACCTGGATAAATAATTCCCCCTGGACCTCAGTGCCCGGATTTAAGATATGGCCAAGACTAGATGCTCTGAGATCCCTTCCACCCTGCCACTAACACATTCGAAGCTGGAAACAGCCTCATGATGTTCCTACTCAAGGTGTATCTCCTAACCCTAAAGAAAAATCGCTCTGTATATTATGGGAGTTCCATTCCCTTGAATATGTGGGAACAGGATGATTCTTAGGCAAAGGGACCACCGCCCTCTCAACTCAAAGGCACTAGCTGCTGCCTTCTCCAGCTAATGGAAAGGCTGCAGCCCAAGGTAAGGATGCAGGCAAGCCAATTCCCCACAACCATTTCACAGAGCTTTCTATGCATGATCCACAGCAGAGACTCTTAGCTTTCAATGTGACACTAACCCCTTTGGCAGCCTGGAAAAATGCACAAAATACATAGGATTGCAAAGGAAGTCAATTTTATTGAAATGCAGTTATCAAATTGTTGAACATTTAAATCTGTATGTGCTTCTTTATTAACATATTAAAGATTATAAGACCTAAGAGGTGGATCTAATTATTATCATAATTTCAAAGTAGTGTTGCACCTATTTTAAGGTATCCGTAACATGGATATTTGTGATTCCTAGTGATGAGAGAGACACAGGTACTAATACTGCTGTGGTTTCTTGCCTATTTTCCTAATGGAAAGAAATAAAAACTTCTTTTTCCCATAGAGGTTTTCAGATTTCCTGATTGCTATCCTCAGGCCCCTTTAGATTCACATATCCCCATTTAAGAACTCCCAGTCTATAGTAATGCAAGTTTTCCTAAGTTGTACATAGGTGGAATCAGAGAAAGGGAAGCAAACAGAAGAGCCTCACTGACTGACAGACTGGTTGGCTGCTCAGGCAGGCCTCAAGGATGGTTACACCCTGTGGATCCAGAGCCTGCTCCTCATTTTCAAATGTTCAGAAACTCAGTTTGTCTCAGTTCTTCCAGGAGCACCCTGGCTTTTGAGAGACAGATTCATAAAAATCAAAGTCACAAGGGACTTACTGATTTTCAGGTCCACTTCAGATTCTTGATTTTTCTCCTTTCAGATCCCAAACAATGTCAAATGACATTATTCTTATCCTTTGAAGATATGATCTTATGGCAGCCTAACATTTTAGCATCTTTTCTGTGGCTCATTGCAATGGCAGCATCTTATAGGCACATGTCTAAAAAGGTTATCACCTTCCATTTCTGTGAAGTCAAAAATCTCAAGTGCTTCTGCACTTTTGAGAAAACTGAAAAGTAACCAAAAGCTTTTCATTGTTTTATTATGAAAGTCTCAACATTGCATTTAAGCAACTCGCATCCCTTTGTAGCAGTGTTGTATGTAAGATGTATGAGGCATTGAATGGATAAGATCTTTTCATTTTCTTTGTAAGAAGTTTGTAGACTGAATGCAATTTGCCAACATTTACATATGTAAATCTATCATGAAGATAGACAGGCTAATTCTAGTTTGTATTTAGATAAAATATCAACAGTAGTTTGTGATTTCAGCAGTTTCATTAAAATCCTCATAGAAATGAAGAGATGACTTGAAACTCCCGTTTTCAAGTCAAGTACCTAACAGAGGGAACATATTTTTGCTGCCATAATTCGGCTTATTACTTAAAACTGATATACTATAGAAAGCAGAATTGTTGGTGAGGTATGACAGGCTGGTCTTACACTGTAAGAGGCCAACACATCTGTTATCAAAATTTCTCCTAGTTTGCCCAGAGGCTATTTTAGCTGCAATCCCGGAATCAGGAAATGAAAGCTTACTCAGTTTCATAGAGCAGTCAAGGGAATGCTGCGACAAGGGCATGCTTGTCCACCTGGTATGCCCAAGCTAATTCAGCAGCTATTTTTGACTGAGCATTGGTATCTTTTGGAGAAACCAAAGTATTTTTGATTGGTTTAGAAGCATTCACTTGTCCCATCTTACTGGTGAGATTTGGTCTCCAGATGTGCTTTCACATCCCTTCTCCGTCATGTCCAATCTCAAGTTTTTTTCTGCGTATTATGCAGTATGCTCCGTTTTGGTTATTTACCTTCCTAATAATTTGTGTCCTTCCATCCATAGTCATTTAGTCTTCTTCAGTGATGGGGTCATGGTTGCATTGGTATTATAATCATTCTCATTATCTGACCTCTTAGAAAACATGGTCACAATATTCACAATGTTAAAAAATTAAACTGGCACTATCTTGTTACAAAGCACACCAATTAATCTGCAGGCAAAGTCAAAGATGAACTGTTAATATTCATTATATACACTTAAGCCACATCACTTTGAATGATGCAACATGGATGGATGACCATTCTGAACTACAAATTATGTGTGCCAGCATCAGTGGTCAAATGGGTGACAACAGTAAAGATGATGGACAATCTGTGCCATAACCCTTTGATACTAAAGACAATGTTGCTTTCAGCCCCTCTAAAACTTATGGATTTTGTACATTTCCTGCAGCCTTCCACACTTGTTGCCAAAACCAGGATTATTCACATTCCAGGGATGGGTTTCCCAGGACACAATGCTCTCAGAGCTAAAATTGGGATGGCTGCTTACCCTATTGGGTCGCCATGAACCCAAGGGCTACCTCTCCAGAGGTAGGAGGGGAGGCACATGGAGCTAGAGACTCCTCACCCCGCTTCCACTAATGGTGTTAAACTTCTCCAGAATATTTTTCACAGGTTCCTCTTCTTTAACGGGTGATGAAAACAAGACGTTGTCTTTTGTTAGACTTCAGATTTACTGAAAGCTCAATGGCCTCCATCTGGAAACACAGGCAAAGTTCAGGGCCAATGCCTTCCCCTGGCTCAGGTCCTAAAGGAAACTCAGAAAAGAAAGCCATCCAAAGGCAAGAAAGGAGGAGAAAGCAGCTCCACTGACAACTCCACCAGCCAAGGAAGAAAGAAAAAAGCATCTACGGGTGGCTGGTTGGGAGCATAAACCACATCCTGGGGAGAAACTCACCTCCCAAACTCACCAAAGTGTTTCCTTACCTTCTCCTCAGTGGCTTTGGGGGTTCAGATGCCCTGTAAAGATTTTCTTCACAGCATATTTCTTCATGACAGTGGCTTTTTGGGGGTCCATGCTATGGCCACCCACCTGTGCTCCTTCTGATCTAGGATCTGTTCCAGCAGAAGGGTAGGTGGATCAATCATCCAGATTTGCCAGGGACTAAGGGGTTTGGGGACTTTCAGGGCTAAAACCAGAAATGAGGAGTTTCCTAGGAAGCAGGACTGTCAGAGCTATAGCCACAACTAAGGGATTTCCCAGAATAAGAAACTTTTAGCATTAAAATGGGATTGCGCGGTTTCCCACAATGCAAGACTTTCAGTGCTAAAACGTGGACAATTTCTTCTGAGAAGGGGTTAGGTAGACTCTGGTTCTAATTCTCATTGGCACTTCTTAGTAACATCACTCGAGGCTGGTTCCTTATTTCTGAGCCACAAGATTCCATTACAGGTGGAATACACAAAATACAGGTACCCAAAATATTTCACCCCTCCAAACACACTACCCTCTACCGAAGCCAGACTTTCCAGTTTCCTCCAAAACAGAAATCCACCTGGTTTACCTAAACACATAGAAATCAGTTCTCACTCCCTCGGAGCCCTTATCCATGCTTTGAGTTTTCTTCCTGGCCTGACAGGCCCAATCTAAGACTTGCTTCCTCCAGACGTAAAGCTGGGCTGCTGGAGTTGGAATCCTTGATGTTCCGCCCTCTACTATGTGGTCTCTTTTACTTACTTAATCCTCTCTGCATCGTAGTTTTTTCCTCTGTGAAATGGCACCGAAATGCCTATTTCCAGCATCTTTGGGTGTGTTTTTCTAATTCTTATATGCGAAGCATTTAGTGCAGGGGCCCAAACAGGCACAGAAACAGGTACTAAACTTCCACTCTCCTCTTCCTGGACCACTCCAGCCCATAGATTTAATACTTTTCACTCCCCACTAATCAGGAACACGTTCTTAAACTCTGCTTCCCCCAGCGCACTTGGCCACATGCAGCTCAGACATGATCAGGAATGCCTTCTCTTAGAAATCCAATCCCGCAGGCACAGACCTTTGATGGAATACACAGCTCACCTTCTCTGTAGGAGCTGCACCTCTTGGTCTTCCAGTGTTGGGATTCATTTTGGGGGGATGGCCAACGACCGCTTCAAATGTGGTAAAATAGTCTTTAGGGTCCTTTTTGCTGGTATCTCAGCTCTGGTTCATTAGTGACAGGAATGGTAGAGTGAGACACATGGCCACGAGAAGTCTTACGAAGAAGCCATGGGCTTATAAAGTCTTACAAAAAGGCCAAGAGTTTAGGAGGACTGGATTTCCCAAAGCTTTCGCTGGAAGGATTACATATAAAGCCACCACCCACGGCAAAGTGTACACCCACCCACCCTGAGTCTGCAAAGATTCTACCTTCGACAGCTGTTCACAAATCTCTACCCCCCCTACTGAGATCCACTTTGGCCCTAACAGAACTTACCCCCACCACAGATCCCCAGGCTGGGAGAGGAAAAGGAAAGGCGACCTCACGGGGCCCACGCCCCACGCAGTCGTCACAGCTGTTGGTTTACATACCTTCTTATTAAAGGGCTGCCGTCTCTTCTATCCCGATCTTCCCCGGCGCCCAGGAGTCGCTCTCAAGGAACTCGGTCTTCCTGGGCAGAGCCCGCGGTCAGAGTATGACTCTGAGCCCAGGTGGAGGTTAGGGGAGATGAGGGAGCGAGGGGAACCCTCACCCGGGTCGGAGCGCACACCCTCCTCCGGAGTCTCCGCTCCCCCCGGGCTGCTCCCGGACGACGTCGATCCCACAGGTCCCGCCACCTCCACAGCACCTCCCCCGCGTCCCCCTAGTTCTTGCCGCCGTTCCTCTGGTCCGCCCTGGCGCCGTTCTGGCCCCAGCCTGGCGACCCACCGTCGGGGGCGGCCTCGTGTGCGTTCTTGGTGGCGCCTGTTGTCCGCAAGAGCGTCTTCCTCTCCCTTGCTTCTGACACACCCAGCAAGCCCACAACCGTCCCAGCGTGAGACAGTCCGGCTCCGCGGGAGCAGTGGGCGGATTTTATAGGGTCCGAGTTGGGGGACGGACCCACCTTGCCCAAATTACATGCTCATTGGCTAATTTTGCCTGACACTCAGCCATGCACCGCTGTCCCATTGGCCGCGCTCTAAATCCCGGCGGGGTGGTCCTCTAGCGGTGTCTCGGAGCCAGGGCCCTGCGGAGGGTCCCAGAGATCCCGCGCGAGGACCGCAGGTGCAGGCCCGAGGCCAAGGGGCTCCCATGCGCCCTCCTCCCGCGGAGCCCGCAGCCTCTCGCCCCCGCGCGCCCGTGGCCAAAGTGAAAAACAGCCAAGACAAAACAAGTTCACATCCCAAAAGCAAAACAGCCAAAAGGAAATTCAAGGAAAGCAAATATAAATGAGAAAAATATATAATTAAGCAAAAATGAATGTCCACGAAGGCAAGACAAAAAACTAAGCAAAGGAGTAAGTTCAAAGAAAAGATAAAATGTGAGTATAATTTAGGATTATTAAGATTCCTATTTAATTATTTAGATTCCTATTGAAATCTCGACAATTAAAATTTTACTATCAAACTTTCATCATTCTTGCCTTTCCTATGAAAGGGCAGCAGGGGGCACCAGATACTAGGGTTTCATTCAGCTAGCACAGGCGTTTTAGCAAGTTAGTTACAGTCACCAAATAGTGTTCTCTTAGAGTTCACAGATAGTTATAAAAGTTAACAGGAAATGGGGAAAACAGAGTGATGGTCTACAATCAGGGATGTTCAAGAGACAGAATACAGTCATGAGTTCTTAGTTTCTGTTTCTGGCTGGGCTAGTAAAGCCCCTTCCTCATCCCTCTTTTTAGTTTGTCATTGGAGACAGATACTAAAAGCCGTAACTCAGGCTACTAAAAGCCTAAAACAAAACAAAACAGAACAACGAAATAAGGTGGGTTGGACAAGCTTAGTACATAGAAGAATGTGCGAAAAAGGTATATGATTTCTGTACCCCCTGTTGGCTAAGGAGTACAGTGTCCTGAAATATTGGGAGGGTGGCAATTACAAAACATAAGGGGACGTTTTTCAGAGGTGGGCTCAGAAAAAGATGCAGCCCAGTGGAGAGTGACCACTAGGGCACCAGGCTGACTCTCTGACCTTAGCCTGCCATCTGGACCCATTTTGAACTTTTGCCAAAGACATGGGACTTCCCAATTTAAAACCAGAACTGAGGCTTTCCCAGACAGGGGACTTTCCTATAAGCAATAATGGTTACAATGGCAACAACCAACAACTAATATTTAATGAGTGCCTATTGTGTGCCAGAAACTGTTCTAAGCATTTTACAAGTATCAACTCTGTTAATATTCACAACAACACTTGAGGTAGACACTCTATTCTCCCTATCTTACAGAGGAGGAAGCTGAGGCAACTCACCAAAGGTCATGCAAACAGCTAAGAAGTGTCAGATCCAGGTTTTTGTTTGTTTGTTTTTGTTTTGAGATGGAGCCTCACTCTGCCGCCCAGGCTGGAGTGCAGTGGTGTGATCTCGGCTCACTGCAACCTTTGCCTCCCAGGTTCAAGTGATTATTGTGCCCCAGCCCCCCGAATAGCTGGGATTACAGGTGTGCACCACAATGCCTGGCTAATTTTTGTATTTTTAGTAGAGAAGGGGTTTCACCAGGTTGGCCGGGCTGGTCTCGAACTCCTGACCTCAAGTGATCTGCCCACCTTGGCCTCTCAAAGAGCTGGGATTACAGATGTAAGCCACAGTGCCCTGCCTAGATCCAGGTTTAAGAAAAGTGTATGTGTGCAGACTCTGCTGTCATTCAGTCCAGGTTTAAGTCATACCTCCATCACATTAAGAATATCCACATTATTAATACGGGAAAACGCATAACTAGCACATAGGAGATATGTGCTATACGTAATAGCAGATACAATAATAATGTCAAAATAGTATTTGCCATTATTATTAAAAGAGTTGTTCCTGCTCTACAAAAGCTTAAAATTTAGTGAAAGAGGTTCATACATGTCATAAAGCAGTAGAGGTGCTTATTGGATGGGTGAATGGGATAGATAATAAATGCATAGAAGCATTCAAAAGAGGAAGAGTTGTGAACGAGCGCGGTCAGGTTAGGCCACAGGTATTCAATGTGGCACCCACTTAAAATTCTGCCTGAACATTCTGCATGTCACCATTAGAAGACAGCTTCTGTTTCTCAATGGCTTAAGCTAATTATTACAGACTTAGTATTTGATAAATACTTAGTATTTGATACACCTGCAGGTGTATGTTTAACTAAAATATAATCTTTTTTGTTTTATTTTAAAAGACAGGGTCTCACTCTGTTGCCCAGGCTGGAATGCAGTGGCAAGATTACAACTCACTGTGGCCTCAAATTCCTGGGCTCAAGTAACCCTCTCAGCTTAGCCTCCCAAGTAGCTGTAACTGCCACACCCAGCTGAGATGATCAGTTCTTATTTGTAACTAATATTCTGTTAAGAAATGGTGTAATGTCTACTTTTTTAACTGGAGGAGGCATTTATTATTTTTTTTGAAGTTAACATTGATTAATTCAACAAATATCTATGAGATGTCAAGCCCTGGAATAGGACTCGGAAATCAACAGAGCGCCAAGTCGGAGACTAACTCTGGAGTAAGGGGAGTGGGAAGAGCTGTTATTTTAATTGAAACCTGAAGTCTGAGAGGGAGCCAGCAGGCGAGGAGCCAGGGGAGCCACAATGCGGGCCAGCAGGAATGGTCCGAGCAAAGGCCCTCGGTGGGGAAAGGGCTCTGTGCCTCATAAGGACCAAATGAGGCCACTTAGGGCTGAAGATTTGTGAATTAGAAGCAGAGTGAATTGGTTCACCAACATACTATGTTCACAAAGGGCTGAATATGGTTTCTGCCTCTGAGTCTTCTATTTAAATCAAATGAGCTGTGCAGTCTCCAGATGTTGCTGAATGAAAACTTTACATGATGGGGTGAGAGGTAATCTTTGTGTGCAGCTTGCCCTTAACTGAATTTAATGCTACATGTCTGTGCACACTGAAGGCCAGAAGAGCCTCTATCTTGAACAACATGACTACTGACTCTTCTATTTGGCTTTAATAGTAAAAGAATTGTGTTGTTCTCTATGGCAAATGGATTTACATGCATTTACAGGCATATATGGAAAAGACAACTTCATCTTTTCTAAAATAATTTTTTTTTGGAAATAAAAACCAAAGACAAAATATTAAAGATAGCTCAATCTTTCCTATTCTGTTTGTCCCCATGGAGCTGCTACTGTACTTGTGATTCTTGAAGTGTAAAAATCAAACAGAAAATTGGCTTGGTGAGAAAGAAGACTTGATGTGCAGGGTTAATCTATGCGTCTCCTTCAGGTCTCTGTGAGCAAACAACCCTTAATGCAATGAAAATGGCATCCTTCAGGGAAAACAGATTATCTTGTCTGATAGGTTGCCTCTTCTCATTACATTAATGGTACTCTGATATCACATTTTAAACAATGTTTTTAATTTAAAAGAAAAAGTCCCAAGAGAAGGCTTAGACTGAAAAGTAGAGCCTGATAATACTTGAAAATATGCAATCCAGGAACCTTCTAAAATCCTCTCAACAATGCAATGGGAGGTGCTCACTGTTAAGGTCAAATTGGGTACAAGTTTAATGAGAGGAACGATTCAGTCCCTTTCTCTTTCTTTTTATAGTTTGTTCTAAAAGAGCTGCTTGTTTTAACAAGTTTAAGTGGGATCTCTAAGAAATTTCTTAGAAAGGGCTAGGCACGATGGTTCATGCCTGTAATCCCAGCACTTTGGAAGGCTGAGGCGCGCAGATGGTTTGAGCCCAAGAGTTTGAGACCAGCTTGGGCAGCATGGTGAAACCCTGCCTCTATAAAAAATGCCAAACATTTGCTGGGTGTGGTGGCATGCGCCTGTAGTCCCAGGTCCTTGGGAGGCTGAGGTGGGAGGATCACCTTAGCCCTGGAGGATGAGACTGCAGCGAGCCAGGATTGCACTCCACTGCACTCCAGCCTGGGTGACAGTGAGAGACCCTGTGTTTAAAAAAAAAAAAGAGGCCGGGCGTGGTGGCTCACACCTGTAATCCCAGCACTTTGGGAGGCCGAGGCGGGTGGATCACGAGGTCAAGAGATCGAGACCATCCTGGTCAACGTGGTGAAACCCCGTCTCCACTAAAACTACAAAAAATTAGCTGGGCATGGTGGCACGTGCCTGTAATCCCAGCTACTCAGGAGGCTGAGGCAGGAGAATTGCCTGAACCCGGGAGGCCGGGAGGCGGAGGTTGCGGTGAGCCGAGATCGCGCCATTGCACTCCAGCCTGGGTAACAAGAGCGAAACTCCGTCTCAAAAAAAAAAAAAAAAGAAAAAAGAAAGGAAAAGAAAAAAAATTTCTTGGAAAGAAGGGGAGTGAATATTAAAGGGATCTGAAGTGCCACCCAGCTGTGGATAAAGTGTTTCTTTTAAAACAGAACAACACACCTGTAATACCTTACACAGACTGCGGGACACCTAGGAGCGGCTTTCTAGCTCACCTCTCGGGCTAGATCGAATAAAGACTACAGCAGCCCTCTTATCCATGGGGAGTACATTCCAAGCTCCCCCGTGGATGCCCGAAACTGAATAGTACTGAACTGTATTACAGTCTACTAGGATTTTTTGATCTGATAACCAAGGGGGCTACTAAGACTAAACAAAGGGTGGTGTAGACAGCATAGATATGCTGAACGAAGGGATGATTTTCATCTCAAGTGGGCTGGAGCGGGATGGTATGAGATTTTATCATGCTACTCAGAATCATGCACAATTTAAAACATTAATTATTTCTGGAATTTTTCCACTTAATATTTTTGGACAGCCATTGGCTAACACCCCAGAAAGTGAAACTGTATATCTACTGTATTGGGATGAAGATGGAGGGGAAGAAATTGCATTATTCATCAAATGGCTTTTTAAAACATTTTTGGGGCCAGGCACGGTGGCTCATGCCTGTCATCCCAGCACTTTG